CATATTGCGATATAAAGGTAGCCCCCCCCCCCCCCCCCCCCCCCCCAAACCTCTGCTCCCTGGCTTCGACTTTTTAGTCTTTCAACCAACTAATGCTCGCCCTTCCTGCACAAGCACTGCACTGTGTATCTAAATATTTGGATTTGATAGTTTCATTATGCCATTTTAAGATGCATAACTTGTTGAAAAGCAGGAATATATGGAGGAAAGATAAAGAACATACCTGCATAAACCATTTGATGAACCCTTTTTGAGACAAAGAAGAATCTAAAAGGCAGGTTAACATCAAGCCAGAGGAAGCAACATTCATATTTTGACTTGAACTTGAAGAAACACTCCTCCACCAGTGGTTCAATGTAGGAATTTGATCCACCAACAATAATTGGAACCCGGCCTGACTTCAAAATCCATTCATTCGAGTTTGGAGATGATCTGTGGGGCTGGATCTTAAGGGTTACTGGTGAGACTGTAGGGGGTTGGTATGGTGGGCTGGGAGGAAGACATCTTTTAAATACCAGGTGCTTGGCACGTGTAATGCACATGTTAATAGTTTTCTAAAGTTCTTATTAGAGTATTAGATACGTGCATCTCCTATATAATAAGATCTTGGGAATGAGCTGTGGGGCTGGAGCTCGAGGGTCGCAGGGGTGGGGAGTTTTAAGGGGTTGATATGGGTGATCTGCGAGGAAGATTTCTATATTTTTGTTTTATTTATTGATATATAAATTTGGTGTATTGTATTTAAGCTCAACGGTAAATTTATCTTTTCATGTTAATTTATTTTTGGGACCCAGATAATTTTAAGGAGTAAGATTATTAGAACACATACCAGTAATTCCGTATACAATCGAACTATGAATGCACATTTTAAATTATTAAAAAAAGGATGTCTTAACAATTTTTAATAGGGGTAACGAAAAAGGTATTAGCCTACCCCTAGTGAACTCCGACTGCATGGAACATGTTTGTGGTCTCGTGTTCAACCTTAATCTGAATTCCACTTTAACCCTTTGATTTTGTAACGTTTTCATTTCAATACCTGAAAATTGATTTCATGTAACTTTTCATTAATTGTGTGCTTCATGTGTGTTGAGTTGTTACAACACCTAAAAAGAACTGTTAAGATAAAACAACATTGATTGCTGAAAAACATAAGTGCAATTTTTATTTTGATGTTTTTGTGCTCCATATTTTATGTTCACCCTTTATTTTGTCAAATGGATGATGTTATCACTATTAGAACTTTTGTTTTAGGTTTCACAAGTCTCTCATATGATTTTATTCTTTTGTTCTATTTTGGTTTTTAGCACGTTGATAGCACATCCATTGCACATAAACATTCATACTTATTTTCATTTGTCAAGACTTTTTGTGGAATGCATTTGTTGTTCACTAGTTATACCCACTTAGGTTTCGTATGACTTGTTTCAGTTACACCTTTCATATCGATCATATGTTATATTGAACTTTATTATTATAAATTAATTTTAAACGTGCATCAATTTTTATTTTAGAGTAATGGAAGCATCCCATAAGTGAATGTTTACTTTTAAAATGTTATTTTTCAGTCACGCATTTGAGATTTTCTTAAAGATATCGAGTGTTGTTTAATTTTCTAAACGGACACTTTACCAATTCTAATTAGAATATAGTGAAAAAAAATGTTTGCTTTAAAAAATCCTAATTTTCAGTCATGTGCATTTTGGATTTCTTAAAAATATAGATTGTTGTTTAACTAATAAAAGGACACTCGACCAATTCTAAAAATTGTTATTATATTGTAAGTTAATAAAGATATTATAGCTTTCCATAGTGCAAGGAAGTAACACGAAACTAATGCCTTGAAGTCCCCAAAACGATATTAATCTGGTTGTTAGATTCCTGCTGATGATTTGAACAATATGTATAGGTTCATACGTATAGATTATTCCACTGTATTTAAACAGTAGAATTAGGGCAATGTTATCTATCCTTCATCTTCTGTAATTCTCTCAAAAAGTATAAACAATCTTTTTCTCCACATTTCATATCCCCGTGCATTCGGTTCTAGAGACACCAAAAAGCAGCCTTTGGCTTATTTTGTTAGGCTGCCAACTTCTTGACCATATTAATAGCTTACATAATACTTTTCCAGTGATTTAGATACTGGAATCTTGAGAATTGTATCCAGGTGTTTTATAAAATACCTCCTCCAGGTGTGAAATTGCATAATAACACCGATTCCTTGTATCTTGAATCTGGATCAGGATTTTGTATGGATGATATATATGCAAGAGAAAGAGGTAAAATAAGCTTTTCAGAGAGGGCCCTCATCATCTCCTTTATGAATTGTCCTTTGTCAATTTGAGTTATATATAACACCGAGGTGTATCTTGATGGGGTCCAACTTAACTCTTCTCTCGCCTTGCAAGAAAGTATGATGGCAGCAAAATGAAATAATTAAATCTGTAACTCGCCAACGAAAGGCAAAAAATGACTTGAATAATCATGCTTAGAACAAGTAGACATGTATATACTACGTTGTTTAGAAACTTAATGCTCTTTATACGCTTTCTAGGTATTAGTGTTGGTTAAGCAAGTGAAGGGTCTAATCTTGGTTAGCAAATTTTTTATTAGGAGGGTTGTAGCAATTATGAATTACCCAATGGCTTAGGTCAGAGACCTCCCTTGCAACGCCAATGGTGTGCAAGAAGAAGTCACTGTATGCTAAGAATCTCCCATGCTAGACTTGCGTTCAAGAGAAGTAGTTCAAGTCCTCATGTGTTGTTTATTTGTATCATCTATGTACAAATGAAAACGCGAGGTTTCTCCGTGATATTAGATATATCATTTATGCATACTGGCATTTCATAAAATTCTTTAGTGCTCGGAGTTTCCTTGTACCTCCACACGTCCTCAGTTTTATGAAAGATTGGCCAGCAAATGCATTCTCCATGCACACCTTTCAGAACATAAGAGCACACAGAGTTGCAAGTGGAAGAACCAATACTTCCCAGCAGATGAGGCAGCTAAATTCTTTCAAAAGCCTTTCTTTCATGGACTAACTTCGTTTCTGGCATCTCTCTCTCTGTGCTCTTACATTCATCATGATAAATGTCTGTTTCTTGTTGACTTTTTAGTGGAGACTTTTTCCAAATTCAAAGTTTATCTTTCACTAATATTAGTTTCCTCAACAATGCGCAACTCTCTTGGGCAATCATTGTGGTTTCACTTTACTTTTTCTCTCAATCTCCATTCATTAGTGAGGTTGCAGCAATCACCCAATGGCTCATGTCAGCAACCTCCCTGGAGACGTTAATGGAGTTTGCATGGTGTGCTAAAAGAAGTAATGGATGGTGAGACTCTCACATGCAAGACATGTGTTATTATGTGAGTTCCGATACTATATTAAGAATTAAGGTTTTCGTCGTTAGAGGCCAGCGTTGTTAAGAGAAGTCACTTAAGCCCTATATGTTGTTTATTTATTTCATCTATAATTGATGTACAATTTAAAACTCGATGTTTCTAAAGGACACGAAACACATTATTTCTGCACGATGGGCATTTCATGACATTCTTTTGTGCTCCAAGTGTCCTTGTACCTCCACTTGTCTTGTGTTTTGTGGAAGATTATCCAGAAAACTATGCACGCCTTGCAGAAATTATGAGCAATAGATTTGTAAATGGAAGAACCAGCACTTTTGACAAATAAGGCTGCTAAATTCTTTCAAAAGCATTCATTTTACGGGTTCATTTTGTTTATGGTGTCTTGCTCTCTTTGTGTTTTTACCTTCATCATCATAAATATCTGGTACTGGTGGAGATTTTTTCCCATTGCCAATGACTTTTTCAATAATATCAGTAGCATGCTTTAATTCCTCATCAATAAGCATTTCTCTTGGGCAATCACAGTGATTTTATTTTACTTTTTTCGCAGTTAGTAGAGTTGCTGCATTCACCCAATTGTCCGCATCAGCGATCTCCCTTGCAATGCCGATGACATTCGCACGGTGTTCAAGAACAAGTCAATTTCATCCTAAAATGTCAACCTCTTTAATAGAAGTGGCCAAAGCATATATATGTTATTTACTTATTTCATCTTTTATTATGTGTGATATTACCCCTAACATTATTAAGTCATTGCTCCTCAAAACAAATTGATATGTTTTCTTTTTGAGTTATGCTATATGTACACAATGAATTATACAATGGATTACACCCCCCTCATATGGAGGGGGGCCCGTACACAATAAAATATTCGTGTCCCCCCTCCATGTGAGGGGGGTGTAATCCATTATGTAAACCACCAAATGTATATCTAGCATAATTCTTTCTTTTTTGGAGCACCAATACTCCTAATGAGGTGGCTTGTCATGTCACGCACTGACCTTCCTTAGGCACTCCAGAGCACGTATCCGACATGCTATGTGGCATCTCTAATTTTTTTTTTTTATGTATTTCTAAATTTCAACATTTAAGGACACTTTGTCGATACACCTTGTGCTAGAGGTGTCAAGACGGATGGGCCGGCCATGACCCGTGAAAATCGGCCCGTGAAAATCAAGACCGCGGGCCGACCCGTGACCCATGCGGACGGTTCACGAGCCAATGAGGTATAACTCGTGGGCTTCGCGGATTGCACCCCCACGGGCCGCGGGTTAAAAAAAAAT